GGGCTAGGATATCTCTCTGTGTCCATTCATTGTCCAACCAACTACCCAACAAATTCTCTTCTCTTCATTCTTCTCTTCTTTCGCTGGCGACTTCGGTAAAATTCCCCTTATCCTTTTTAAAGCAATGAAAGGATGAAGAAGAGAAAAAAAAAGGATGAAGAAGAGAGAAGAGAGAGAGGAGATCCTTCGGAAGATGTTTTTCTCTCTCTTTTATTTTCCCTTAAATTATTTATTCTCTTCCCTCCACTTCTCTCTCTCTCTTCCCCTCTAAACTACAATTGTCCATTTAGCATTTTAATTTTCCAATAATTTTTATTAATTAATTTTTATTTTAAAATATAAATTCATTTAACTAATAGTGAATTACTTAAATAAATTTATTTAAATAAAATTCTTTCAAAATTTATTAAATAAATAGACAAATTAAAAAAAATAAATTTATTTTTTATTTACATTAAACCAAAAAAACATTCTTTTACTTTCAAATTCAATTTAAATTTAAATCCAAATTTATAAGAGAATAACTAATTTTTATATAAGAATTTCACAATAAGTATACTCCCTTATTTGAGCAGCATTCTGGAAATAAAAATATTTTTTAAAGTTTAAAGAATTAATTTCAAAAAATGTTTTTTTTATTTATTTTTATTTTTGTCTAATTTACGATGAAATTTCTTTTAATTTTTTAGATAAATTAATTTTTATATTTCAAATTAAATATTTTCTTTTTTTCATTACTAATCTTATTTCTAAATAATTTTTGAATTAAATTTTTATTTAATTTAATCATTATTTAATAATCTTATTTTTTGTTTTCACCCCAAAATATCGACACCCAAAATATCGTTTGACCCAAAATATCGAAAGGAGTATAATAAAGCGTGGTGCCATAAAATCTCTTCCTACAAAATCTCTACCTACTATTAGTTAGCTAACCTACTAGGGAAGGTCGAGACCGGATCTCATTCGATAGAGAATGTGCCCTTTCTAGCAAGGAATGTGCCCTTTCTTCTTCAACCTTCCCTAGTTAGCTTGATCGCTGATTTCAGATAATTAAGAATTTACAACTTCCTTTGGTGAAGGTATTGATGTGATAAAGCTTTATTAACGTTGTTTTTAATTCTAGCAACTCAATTCGAGTCAAGAACAGCACATAATGAAGGTGTTATCAAATATTAATTTTCAATATTTTGGGTCAACGATATTTTGGGTGTTGATATTTAGGGAACGATATTTTGGGTGGTGATATTCTGGGGTGATCCCTTATTTTTTAAATAATTTTTAAATTTATATTTTTCTTCTTTAAAAAAATAATTTTTATTTAATTGATTATTTTAAATATTTTGTCATTTTTAAATAAAATTATTTTTATTAAAATTTATTTTTTTAGAAAAATTTAAATATTAAATGCATTCAAATTCATATAATTATAATTCAAAATATAACAACAATCAACATTGCAATATGCAAGAAATGTCTTCTTTGGACAATTTAAATCAGAAAGAATTAAATTCAGACGAAAACATTCTCAAATTAAAGCCAAACGAGGAGGAAGAGGAAGACGATGAAGAAATGGATGATGAAGATGAGGAAGAGGAAGAAGAAGATGACGAGGAGGAAGATGATGAAGATGAGATTATTGGGAGTGGTTATGATGAAAATATTGTTAGAAATGGAGAGGAGATTGGAGGGGAATGTATTGAGGAGGGGGATGTTAGTCCAAATCCTGAGGATGATGAAAAAATTTTGGTACCGAAGGGGGAATTGGCATCGATTAAGGCAAATTTACAAATGTTAAATCATCAGGTATTTATTGATTATTGAATTGTTAATAAATAAATAAATATTGATTTTAATTTAAATTAATTTAAAAAGTTTATCACGTCGCTTGACTTTCTTAAAAAATTTGTTTTTAAAAATTTTAAAAAAATTTTTAAAAATTTTCCAAATTTTTAGATGTCAATTTTAATTCGAACATTAAATGTTCAGCCTTGTGGTTGTAAAGATTGTGGAATAACTTCAATCAAAACACAAGCTAAATCGCTATTAAATGGGAATTATAGATCAGAAAATCAACAGGTTTTCATTAACTATTAAATTATTTATTTTAAATAATTTTTTAGTCGAGTTCTGAAAAACACAATTATGATAATTCGTTTGATTGGGGAGAATCAACACAACGAGGACGAAGGTCTAAATACTGCACAGCAGCAGAGAAAAAGGTTTGAATAATTTCTTAAAAAATTCTCAAAAAATTTTTCTCTTGGAAATTAATTCAAAAAATTAATTTTTAAATTTCAGACAGTTGCCGGTTTTGTACAGCTTCATGGTGCAACTGCTGCTGCCCGTAAATTTAACATTCCGCCTGCTGTAGCTGCTTATTACCACAGAAGAGAATTCAAAAACAGCGTTCATAACAAAGTTGGACGTCCTGCTGGACGTTTTTCAACTGGCCCAGCTTTATCGTCTTCAAAGACTCATGATCCCTCTTCTGGGGAAGTAAGAGAAAGAACAGCCTCATTAACAGCAATGCCAACTTGTGAAAATAAAAATGAAGAAGAATCTTCAAAAAATGGCAATCAAAGTTTGGCACAACTTTGGCAGAATGCTACAGGCTCTCAAAATAGCAGCGTTAATGCTTATCTGCGTGGAAGAGGTCGAGGCCGTCCAAAACTGATAGGAGATGAGTTAGATGCTGAATTAGTTGAGCACATTGTGAAAATGAAACAAAAGAGTCCAACTGCACATTTGACTGCTTCACATGTAAAAAACGTTTTTAAAATTATTTTTTAAATAAATTTTGTAGGCGTTAACAATTGCTCGTAATTACATCGCTACAAAATCGCCAGGTTTATTAGAAGAGAATGGAGGCCAAGTAAAACTGAAAATAACTTGGGCAATGAAGTAATTTGTTGTTTTAAATTATTTAAATTAATTTTTTAAATTGAAGATTAGTTACAAGAGTTCAAGAACGTGAACGAGAAATTCAATTGGGACTTCCTCCTGGAACTTTACAAAATTTGCCTAGAAGTATTTTTGAACTTTAAATTTGTTCTCATTTTTTAAATTTTAGGTTTTCAAGAAAATGGGGGCGAATTAACACCCGCTTTGGTTGATGAATTGCTTGGGCAGGGACACAATTTATTCGGTCAACAATTAAATGGTATTTTTTTAATTTTGACTGAAAATTCTGCAAATTTTTATTTAAATCCTTTAACTAAATTTTTTAAGTGGGTGCAATTCTAGCAGCTGCCACCAGTTCAGCAGGGTCTACTAATGAAGATAAGAAGCCTATTATTACTGGTTGTAATACAAGTACAACTACAAGTCAGTCAGATGCTGCTATGATAAATGCAATGTTGGGAATGGCTGGTGTTGGAAATACTTCTGATATTTTTGGATTAATGGATCAACCGAAGAGTGGAGGTATTACAGTGAAAACAGAGCCAACCACTAAAGGGTATTATATTTTAATAAATTGACGAGTCCAAGTAGAAAGCTTTCGTTATCATTTCCTTATGTTAAAACTGGAAGGTAATTTAATGACTTGCTGCCGTTTTCGAATCGGGCCGGCGTTTGAGTTATTTTTTCGGGCCCATTTTTATCGAACCGGGCCAAACGAGTCTTTTTCGGGTCGGGACCGGTCGAGTTTTTTGTAAGGTCAACAATCGAAGCCCGATACGATATTTCGAATCTAACCGGGCCGGCAACTCTATTCATAATCCATTTCGCCCCTTATTCTGGGTTTCTAATGGATTCTCAATTGTTTAACAAAAATTAAACTTCACTCATTTCCAGAATTAACAGCAACAACAATAATACTTCGAGAAATGCTCCAAACCTTATGATGGAAGCAAATAGTGAAGAACAAGATGCCGCTATTAGACAATTACTTGCTAGTTTGCAAGGAGGCGGTCGTAGTGATTCTGATGATTTATTAGGTGGAAGAAGTAATATTTCTGATATTGATATGGCTGCTGCTTTAGCTAATTGTAGTGGCTAGTAAAAGAGAATTTAATAATTGATTATATTGCATTTTATTTTTAATGGTGCTTTTACAATGATAATTGACATTTTCGATTATAGCGACAATGATAAAACAAATTTAGGAGAAGGTCATTTAATATATTTGTATTTTTTTAATCAGAAGAACAGGGAAATAAAATTAATTTTGAAAGACGTATTGAATAATTTTGCTTAAAAAATTTTTAAATTCCCCTGTACTTCTTGTCTAATATCCCACATTTTACACTTCATTTATTTTTCTTCAAGAATATTTTTTACTTAAAATGATCATTTTTTCACCAAAAAATGCTCCCAAAAATTGATTTTTGTTACAAGAATGTTGCTATTTATCAATCTCATTTTATGTGTGAATATTTAATTTTTTGTTTTTTCTAAAATACATAGTTGTGGCATTCCTATAAATTATAAAAATATTTTTGAATTAACTGCATATTTGGAATCCTACAACAAAATACTATACATTTAATTCACATTAGAGGTCGGTAAAATCGCATTCACGGGATCCCGTAACGGGATTTTTTTCAAAAATTTTTGCGGGACAGGATCCCGCGGGATTAATCCCGTAAATCCCGTAATCCCGTTCGTCGCTAAAAATACGGGATTTCGGGACAGCCCGTGCCGACCTCTAAATTCACATTATACAGTTCCAAAAGCAATCTAAAACCATAAAATTTTGTTTTTTTAACACAAAATAAAACTTTTTTCATAAGATTTTTTCATTATTTTCAATGTCCGCTTGTGTTTAAGCGACGGAATAAAAATAAAAATTTCCGTTATTGAAATAAATACATACATATTAGAGAAAATTAAATTAATAATTTTTACATGTTTCAGTTTATGCTAGTCTCTTAAAAAATTAACTGTAAATTCGAGGCAGTAATTTATTTGATATATTTAATAAGCTGCATTTGTCCAATAAAATTTTTAAGCTTCTGCAGAAACTATGCTGTTGCACTTGCTGTGGATAGTTTATTATGACTCTTCATAATTTACCACTTTATGACTATTTTGCCGTCATCGGATATAATCCAGAATTTGGACTAAAGGTTTGTTGTTATTGATTGTGTTTAAATAAGTATTTTATTTAGCAAGAGAGCAAAACGGGATTTGGTGAAGGGAATTTGCCTAATGGTCCGAGATCACCTTTGCAAGCGTCGTATCAGGCTAAGGTTTGGAAATGGTTAGAATTTGATCATTTTAATTTAAGGTTATTGCCCATTTCCCGGCAGAAAGACAAGGAAGGCCGTTTGCCGCTGAGATAGCAGCGGTATTAATTTTTACTCAACAAATTTTTGAATATAATTCAAACTAACTACCTAAAAATTTATAGTAATTAAATATTTTTTAGCTTGCCCTACCTTCTGGTGTTCGTCTTTTTACTGAACAAAATGTACCTCAAGAGCCTTCCTTTCATTCTTTTGTTATTGTTAGAGAAGGTTAGGTTTTTCTAAAATTTTTTATCAAAAATTTTTTTGTAGATGGTTCAAGACTTCACGGCTGTTCTTTGGTTTTTTATGAGGTTTGTGCTAAAATTAAATGATGAATTATGTTCGATTTCAGGAGCTTCGTTCAGTCGAATTGCGTCAAAAAATGTTTGTTTATTTTTATTTATATTTTACAAGGGAACCTTCCGAACTGTCATTAAAAAATTTTAAATAAAAATTATGCCCTCGTGTAGAGCGTAGTAGATAACCTATTATGGTTCTTGGCTTTTCTGGCTCCGAAAAAATATTTTTTAGATTTGATGCTCAAATGGATTTTTTGCGTGATTTTGCTTCAAATCATACTTCTCCTCTTCCTTCTACTTCAACTACAAACTATCCATATCCAAAAGGTACATTACTACACCAAAAACAACATCTTTCAAAGAAATTTACAACACATTCCCTTCCTCGAAAGTTTTCTGCATCAGGTCGTAGAAATAGTAGTAATGTAAATACAGAACAAAACAATGGAGAAGATCATTCTTCTTATTATACAAACCCAAAAAGTTTATTGTTTGCTTCAAAAAGTATGGTGGTGCTAGCATCGGTTTTTTATTTCCTAAAAATTAAATTTTTTGTTTCTTTTAGTTGCCGGTGATTTATTCATCAGAAAATTTATTATCAAATCTTTGGTTGATTTTTAATGACAAATTCCCTGATGAGGCAAAACTCTCGTTGGACGATGCTCTTTTCTGGGCACTTCATCAAGTTTCTTTAACGTTTCTAATAAATTTATTTTTAAAAATAGATTCCTTTACCACCTCCCGGTGAAGCCATACGAGTTACCCATCCACAATTTCAATTACTTGTGAGGATACCAACCTTAGAGGAATTTCCTTATTTTGACTACTCAATGCAGAATATCTTCAATTTTATATCTGTTGAAAAATTCCTCAAACTGCTGACTTGTTTTATGCTAGAAAAGCAAATATTACTTGTTTCCAAGCGTAATTAAAATTCTTTTTGAATAAACTAAAAATTAAAAAACAGATGCTATTACTCTTATGTTATTTGGTGAATGTCTCTCGACACTTGTTTTTCCTTTTTCTTGGCAAATGGCTTACTGTCCAATTTTACCACATTCTCAGCTTAAGTTTTTGGAAGCACCCGTGCCTTGGTTTTATTAAACCTCAAGTAAAACTTGCTATATTTTTAGGTTAATGGGAATCTGTTCTGAGGGTGAAAATTTACCTGAGGATTTTTCACAGGTTTAAAATTTCTCATTTAAAAATTCTAGCTAATAAATCTTTATTTCAGCACAACATTTGTTTTTTGGATATTGATTCTGGTCGTTTGGATTTACCTGAAGATTTACCCGCTTTTCCAAAAAGTCAGGAACTTATCGACAAAATTAAAAAACTGACTGAATTTTTCAAATCCGAATCATCAATTTCGGATAATGAAATGAAGATTCATGACTTCTATTTAAAGGTATATATTTTATAAAATGGTTAAATTTTTTATTTTATTTTCCAAAGGGTCTCCGTTTCAACAAAGCTCTCCGTTCTATTTTTCTTTCACATTTTGCCTCTTTATTCACCTCATATGAAAATTATCTGCTCAACGCTGATATTAAAACTGCTCGCATTGTTCGTGAATCATCTGCAAATTTTGACAACATTTCTTTTCTTGTTGATCAGCCAGAGAGTGTAATTCTTTTTCTTGCTGCCTTTCTTGAAACACAAGTATGATATTCTAAATATTTTAAATAATTTTTAAAAAGATGTTTACCTCATTCATTGACTCTAAAATCCTATCTTTACAAAATTCTGGTCACGGCGGGAACGGTGTTTTACTATTTGATAAGAGAATAGCAGAATTAAAGGAGGGCGCTATGGAAATTCAAACTTATATTGCAGAGGCAAATGGAGGTATATATTAATTTTTGATGATAAATAGAAAAACCCCATTGACCCTACCATTTACAAAAATTTTAGAAACAGATGCTTTACTCGATCACAGCAAGATTCATCAAATCCCCGCTCCAATATCATCAAAACTACCTTTACAAAAATACAATGGACATCTTTTAATTACGAATCCATCACTTTTGGAAAAAAATGCATCAATAACAAATTCATGTAACATTGATATTCCAACTAAATGCTCAATTAAAACTACTTTGATTGAAAGTAAATCAGCACAACAAAAACCTAAAAACAAAATAACTTCTAAAAAGAATGATAATAACCTAGAGACAGCTAGTGCTATAATTGTAAAAGAAAATGATGTAACAGCACCAATGAATTTAGCACATCAAAATTGGAAGTTTGTTGAGCAATTGTTAAAACAAACTAAAGGTAAAAAATATTTTTTGTTATGAATTTAATTAAAAAAAATTTTAAACAGCAAGAACGACACGAATTCTGTTAGCAAAAATGGGCAGGGAAGCAATTCATCTTGGACATGGTCAGTCGCACTTGGGAATATCTGGTGTTGAAGAGGTACTTTAATTTCTCATTAATTTTATTATAGTAATTTCCTTGACTATTTTATAAATCTTTTTTTAAGAACACATTGGTAGCATCATTTTGTGAGTTGCTTGAACGTATCTGGTCTCATGGTCTCAAGAAAAAACAGGCATCTGAATAAATTATTTTTTTTTAAATTTTTTATCAAAAAATTTCAGGGAAGATCTGCTCTTTGGTCATATATAAATTATTATCATGAATGGGAAACACGAACTAATATGCTTAAAGCATCAAGCAGGCGTGCAAGTTCTATTGGGTTTGAAAATAATAACAGCAATATTTCTGCTTCAACACATGGTGAATTTTTTTGATTTAATATAAATTAGTCATAAAAATTTACTGACAATAAGTTTCTGTCAATTTAACTTTAAATCTACTACAGCAATGCTTTGGATCGTTTTTCGGAGACGACTTGATTGTAAGGGATTTTCCTAATAATAAGCTACATATTGTTGCTTATTTTGCTTAATGTGGGGATAAAAATTGTCCTTTTATTCTAAAAATTTTAAGAGAATTTTTTATTCCTAGATGTTTTTATTTTTATATATCTCATTTATTGTCTGTAAATTGTTAGTGTTTTGTCCATTTTTAACAGACGATGGGCAACGGTTATTATCACCGACATCAAATGTAGCACATGTTATTAACACTGGAGAATCCTCAAGAGCTCTTCTTGAACTCATCTCTTCCTTTCGTAAAATTGCTGGGACTTCCCCTTCGTTTGATTCTCATGATAACTCTCCACACTCGTCTTCTACTGATTCACTTTCAAATTTTACTAATAATTGGTCACATTCCTTGCTTAAAGCAGCCAATGTTATTTGTGAAAGAATTACATCACAACAACAAGCAACAAATGATGAGAAATGTAAAAAGTCTAATACTAATGTTAACAAAGGTCGACTGCCGCCTCTTCCACCACCTTCAACGGTAAAATAAAGTAATTGTTTCGCATTAAGTTAATCCACTTTCAGGATCAGAAATCTCCTTTTCCAAATTGGAAGCTTCGCACCCCAAAATTATTGAGACGAAGAAAAAGTTCTTGTTTTACTGAGGAAGAGGAGCAAAAGGAAGATGAACTTAATAAAAAATCGGAAAACGTAAATTCTGAAGTTTTGCCGAAAGAAACTTATAGAAAGTTTATTTTCCAAAGTCCACTTAAAGCAGTTAATAATCAACAACATATTAAAGGAGAGGAAAGAAGAAGCAGATCTATTGCTAAAATACCTACGCCACCAAGAAGTGCAAGTTGTTATCAAAGTGGGGGAAAAGGGAGTTAGTGTAATTATATTTCTGGTTTTTTTAATTAGTAGTGTTTTTATCTGTCATTTATTTTGTTGGTGAATTGGTTCTTTTTTTTTAATTTTTAAAATGGGCATTGTGTGTCCGATCTTATTCTAAATAGCTTTTTGTTTTTGCTTTATTTCTCTCTGTACCTTTAATTTTTCTCATATTTTCAGATTTGGCTTCTCGATTTTCCGAGGATTCTCTTTCTAGAATTTCTTCCAACAACGATTCAACACCTCGTAAAAGAAGAGATTTGAGTGCATCTGGAATATTTACAAATTGTCAACAACAAAAATTGCCTCATTGCAGAAATCGTTCTCTTTCTCGTTCAAACAGTCCTTCACGTCTTTATGAAAGATTAACACGTGGAATGCTTGGATATGGAGGTGGAGATTTGTTACGATCGTTGAGTCCTCTTCCAAATACAATGGCATATGATTTAAAGTTATTTAAATATTTATTAAAATTTAAAATTGAATTAAATTTTAGAAACATCGTTAGAATGACAGAGGTAATCCTTTTTTAAAAATAACTTTTTAATGCTTTAAATTCTCTATAGATCAAAACAGATATTGGATTTGCTTTAGCTTTTGTTAGAATTGCTCTCGAGCGAAAACTTCTCTACCAATACCTGAAAAAGGTTAAAATTAATTCATTTACTTAATAATTCTTTTTTCTTGCTATTTAGTTACTTTCAAATACTGAACTTCTCCAGTAATTTTATTCCAATTAATTAGATTTTTATTTAAAATTTAGAAAATTATACAAACGTTCTTCTTTTCTTCGTTGTGACGATGAACGTGAACAATTTCTCCTCCATTTATTATCATTAAATGCTGTTGACTTTTCTTGCTTTACCAACGCTTTCCCAACAATAAGTATTTCTCTTTTAATTTTATAAACAATTTTTTAATTTTTTAAAGAAATGCGTTATCAAGTTCTAATGGCGGGCGGCTTAAATCGTTTCCCAGATTCTTTTGTTTATATTATGTTAACTGGTTCACTGGGTTCTACTTCACAAATTTCTCTTCCTGCAAATAATACACAATTTACTTTCGATGTTTTTTTGTTTTTAAATTAAATTTAAAAATTATTTTTTAAGTATAAGAATTTGGGGATACTTTCAACTCTTCGTGTTGGCCATAAAATTAATTCGGTACGAGCGACTCATCGACCAATTAAATGGTTTCTGGATTACGTAAACAATTTTAGACTGTTTATAAATTGAAATTTTTTGTTTTAGGTAATTGTGCGCAATTGTGTTACAGCACAAACATTCCTGTTTCGGTATATATTTTGTTTATATTTTTGTGTTTAATTTAAAAAAAAATTGTGTACTTTTTTTCAAATATCACCCTAGCCCTTATTTGAGTTATTAAAAATTATGTTTTATAATTGACAAAATGAAGGAAACTTCCCGTGATTGATAAAAAAAGAAAATTACTCCCGAAACAAATATGTATATGAAAAAAGTTCCAAAAATTTTAAAAACAGGTGTCGTCGTTATTTTGGTCGTGGTGTTGATGATGGTGCATTGGAGCGACTATTAATTGCAGAAGCAATAGTACTTCAGCCAGCTGATGAAGATCAAGAAGAAAGAACTGACTCAAATAGTTTGAATCATTCAGACAGTGCATTTTCTAATGCTTTTTTGTCTCCGAGAAAGACCAACAAATATTACGAAAATTCGGATAATTACTCGAAAAATAAGCCGAGAGCAAGAAGTCGTTTAAGATCACCAAGTTCTGAAAGAAGGCTTTTTGGCATTACTGATAATTCCTCTGATTGTGGTGGTGGAAGGGTTGTGGATGAAACTTTAGGTGTTTTTCTTAATTTAATATTAAAATATTTTTTATTTATTTATTAGCATTAGATACACTCCAATCATTAGAACATAAAGCTGTAATGGCAGTCAATGCATTAATGAAACATTTTCTAGAAAAAAATGATTGTGGACAACAACAACAATATATTGGAAATAATTCAAAACTTAGTCTACTTTTATGTTCAAATGATGGATTGTTGCCTTGTTTTAATGAAATTTTGTAGAATTATTTTTTTAATTCCTAAAAAAAATTAATTTTTAGTTCACATGGATTGATACAAAAAATATTTCATCCAACAATTTATCCGTGGGATTATATAGAGGAAGTTTTTGTTTGGTTTGTTCAATTTTTTCGAAGTGGAAAAGCAAATGAATTAGCTAGCGAAATGCGGTAGAAAATTCTCTTTCGCTTTATTTTAAAATTTCATTTACAGTTCCTTGGTAATATATGCTTATAAAATGGTTAAAAAAATTGGAGGTAAAATTAGAGTATTTGTCATTATTTTTTTGATAATTTTTATTTAGCAAATTCGGTTGTTGGAAAGGAAGGAAAATTTAATTCTTTTATGCTTTTGTGTTTAAGGTAAATAGAAGATTTATGAATTTGCATTAAAATTTCTATTTTTATTATAGAGATCATCTTTTATGTGGACTTATCCCTTTAATTGTACAGACACCAATTACAACTCAGTTTTACGAACAAAGTGCCTTTATTCGACATTCTTCTAAAGTTTCTTATCTGGTAGAACTTATAAGATCCTTGAAAGATTTTCAATTTGATTATGAACAGTCATTAACTCTTGGCTTAGTTTTTTGATAATTAAATTTATTTTAAACTTTTTAAGAAAAAAATTTTTATTTTTTAGTTTTATGTATTAATAATAATTTAAATAAAATTTTGCAAATATCAACAATTAATTTAACTTTAATTAATTAGAACTAAATAATTGTTAACAAAAATTTTAGTGTTACAGTTTTACTCAATCCATTGGGATTTTGGTTTGACTAAAATACGTCATGAATTAAGAGTTAATGTTAGCTTAATATTTAAAGAAATTTAAATATATTTGTAGGGAGTTTAGTTAGTCTTTTGTCTATAAGTTCGAATTTAGTTTTTAAATTTAATTTAAAAATTCTCCATTTTCTGGTTAATATTTACTCAAAACATTTTTCTTTATAAACTTCATAACATCCTCCATCAAAAAATTTATTTAATTTATTATTAAATATTTTATGCATATATTTAATTGCATTAGTAATTGATTCTCTTAAGAAAGCTGATTCTGTTGTTCTAAATTTTTAAAATAAGAATTAAAAAAACTTCTTAAAATTTACTTGAATAATTGTTCATAAAATATTAAAATAGATCTATAATCCAAATTTGGATGATATAATTTATTTTCTTCTGGTAAATTATTCAAAGCATTTACAATATAAACAAGTAAAACCCATAAAGACATTTGTGTACGAAGGAGGGGATTTTCTGCCTTTTCGAAAAATGAAAATAAAATTGAAAGGTGTTCTTTAATTATTTTATTAGATTTTTTCTCATCAAGAAATTCAAAAAATATTTTTATTTCTTTTTCATCTAATTTTTTGAAAGAATATTCCTTAAATTAAAATGATTGAAAGAATATTAAATAAAATTAGAGTAAAGCAGCTGGGCTATAGCTATTTCTCTCCTTTAGCTAGTGCAAAAGGTTAGTCTGCGGCTGGGTGCGAACCAGCATCTTTAGTACAACGGATTGATGTGTTAGCCATTACATCACACCGCCTACTGCACAGCCTTAGGAATTAAAATTACGTTAGTTATTTACCAATTCTGAATGTGAATATGCTTCAAGTAAAATTTTAACATCATTTTGCTCAAACACTAAAAATAAATTAAAGTTTTTTATTATTATTTAAATACAAACATTGTTTTTTAATTAAATTTAAAGTGTCAGATAATATTTCATTATTATCTTTAATTTCCTCATCCGAAGAAGGCTTACTACAATTTTCTTTAGAAACTACATTAATTGGAGAACAATAATTCTTTGAATATTTAACTTTTTGATTGAACAATTTTTTAACTTAAATTTAATTTTTTAAAAAATAATTTCTTTAAAAAATAAACATTTAATATTTGAGTTATTTATTTGAGAATTATTCTGTAAATTTTCTTTTGTTTTAAAATTGTACAAAGATAAACCAGGAGTATTTACAGCTTAAAAGAATTTTTTGATTAAAATAAAATTATTAAAATCCAAACTGTTTATAACCGAGATACAAAATAATTCATTTATTAATAAAGTAATAATTAGAAAAATAAAATAAATATTCATTTTAATAATTAATTTAAGGATTTTAATTTTAATTTAAAATATTTTTTCGAATGAATTTTAAATTAATGGGGGCAACATTTATATATTTATTTATTTTATTCTAAAACTACACGTGTTGTCTAATTATTTAAGTTCTCATTTCAAAATGAATGTCTGAATGCTTAATAATTTTAAAGTGCAGTAATATTAATTAGTTACATCATATTATTAAAAGAAATTTGAAATAAGTCGAGTTTAAATTTAAAAAATATATTCTAAATCAGAAATTTGAAAAATATTTTAGAAAAGAAAAATTACTAAAATCAAATATATTTAGTTGATTCTGAAAATTTTAATTGAAGTCAAAAATAAATATTTAAAATTTTATTTAATTTGAGTATATTTAAAAATATAAAAAGGTTATATTGGAATGTTAGCTAAATGGATAATTCCACCAAATATTATAATTTTCAATCAAATATTTTTCTTTATCAAATTTTGATATTCTAAATTCATCTTTCCACCAAAAATTATTTTTTTCTTTTTCAAACAACACGGCAAACTGCTGGGACCAAAAGCTTCCGATGGTCGGAAGATGGTAATCCGGCATTTGTTGAATTTGGAATATTTTGATTTTGTCCACCAGAATACACACGGGCTGTGTCAAGAAACTGCAAGGTTGGCAACAATTGCACAGCTGACAAACTGAAAATTTAAAAAAATTAGAAATTACTTCCCACTAGATACATAATGCAATTGAAGGTTTTGCCTAACCGGTATAATAAATCTATGTCAATTTCGGGATAGTTTGGGTGGATGTAGGGCCTATATTTGTCCTAGGCATTTCCCTAATATCTATTTCCTAATTACTATTTACATCCTCTAATAAACTTATGTCATCATCTAATATATAATAATTTATTTTTAAATTTTTCAAAGAAAAAACTTACGCATATTTTTTGTAAAGTTCAAGATTTCTACCACCACCTAAAATAGGATGAGGCCAGCCAGGATTTCCAATAAGACTAAGGCACTTTAAATGGGGTGCTTTACGGCAAAGAATTTGTAAAAGAACACCACAATTCTTTATACAATTTCCATTCAATGAAAGTGTTTCCAATGAAGGTAATTCTGGTAATGATTCTAATGCTTGTTCGTCTAATTGATTTTCATCCAAAATTAAATGTTTAAGTTCTTCAAGAGAACGATCTTCTGTCGAAATTAATTCTAATGGAAATTGCCTAAAAAATATTTCTATTTAAAAAATAAATAATTATACATATAATAATAATTTTACTAAAAGGATATACCTCGGCCGATCATTTTTCTGACTCGGCTCCGGTTTGGTCCATCCTAAACTTATTTTGATATTGAAAATTTAATAAAAAATATTAAATGCTATTAATGGATGTGCTTTGAATTAACTGAAAAAGGGGGAGGATTTCTCTCAAAGGACATTGCCCTACTAATAATCATTGCCCCCACTAACCCCACTAATAACCACATTTCACAACCTCCCTCAGAACTTAAGAGAAAGGCTCCTATAGGTATTCCCCTACAAACAAAAAAACCTACTCAAGATTTAAATTCGAGTAGTCCAAAAGTCCAAGATTTTTGTCTTCTGTGGGTGAAAACTCATCGACAGAAATTGACGATTGTTGTGAGGATTTCCTCTCTTGTGAGGAATGTTTGCGACTAATCGCACAGCAGGTTTGTAGCATTCGATGAAAAAACTTTCTTTTTTGTTTTTTGGCTTTTAAATATAGCCAAAAAATACTATATAAAACTAAAATTCAAAATTAATTTATTTCTTAATATTTTATGAAATATCAGTAAAAATGAGGAGCAAAAAAAGGAATGATTGGAAAATGATAACGGTTTAAATATTTCTTAATTGTGGTTTATGTAATGTATGTGTAAACAAATGGAGAGTATGTAGATAAAAAGAAAAAATTTAAGAGAAAAGTCATATGAGCGGTAATTGATCTTTTAAGATTATTTACTGATAACAAATAATGTTAATAAAAAATAGTGTAATTTTGTATTATGTGACGTAAATCCTTAGAAAATTTGATACAAAAAAAGTATAGTTTAAACAAAATATTTCAATTTTTGGTTCATTCATTTTATCATTGAAAAGATTATTATGTACATATATTTAGTGAAATTTAATTATTAGTAATTAATTTTTTGTCACGTGTTATTTAAAGTTAAACAGTTAAAAATTAGTATGAAAATTTATTTTATCAAAACTATTTTTAACCAAAATTAAATATTATTTTATTTGGATATTTTGAATATCCAAAATATTTTATTTTGTAATTGATCATAATAATAATGTATTATTCGGAAAGATTTTTACAAAGTAATTATATTAAATTAAAATATTTTTTGTGATAATAAATATTAAAAATATTTATCTGTATATTTATTTGTAGTATTAAAGTACAATGTTCCAAGCTAGGTATTATTGCCTTTATTTAATTTATTTTAAATGTAAACAAATTGATAACAAAAAAGCTAATTAAATGGTAAAAAAATAAATTTTTGATTAATTTATTGAATTTTATTGAAAAGATGTGGAATTTTTAAATTTAGATAAAAAAGAATTAAATTATTTGTTCTCTCCCTACTTTTGGAACATAAACTATGTGACAAAATAATTAATTGTAAATAAAGCATAAAAAATCAAAAGTATTAGATAAGACAACAAAAACGAAAGAAAATATTTAATAAAATAAAACTAAAAATGTTATTTATCCAATTCTGAAAAATAAAAAATTATTATGCTATAAATAAATAAGTTTATGTATAAAAATATTTATAGTATCAGGCAGGGACGAGGTCTACATAATTTTCTTGTTGCTTTTTTACATTATCTCCAATTTTTTGTTACATAAAAGGAATTTTTAAAGATGGGAAATTAATATAAAATGATGAGCGGTAAAACAAAGGTAAAATTAAAATATGAAGGAAAAGACAAATTTATAAAATACCTAAATTAGTAGACAAACCTAAATATAATTTTCCTAGACACGGACATTACAATATTAATATCTAAAATTTAAATTTTCTCGAAAACAACAAAAATTTTTCGATCGACACAAGAGAAATCGTCTACAGATTTGGCTAAAGATTCACTCATTTAAAAAATTGTTTAACAAAAAAAATATAAAAATTTTAATTGTTCACACATTTCCCAAGTACGGGAAAATACGAAGACGAAAATAAGATTTACATATCGAAGTATGAGTATGAGCATTAATTTCCATATTTTTTTAAAATTTAATATTTTAAAAGTTTATTTTAATTCCCTTCTTATTCGACAAATTACATCCATCGTATTTTTAATTAAAATCAACAGTTATTTTTATTTAATTTAAAAATAAATTATTTGATAGAAAAGAACATTATTTGTCTAAATTTGACCTAAATTAATTAATTTAAACAAAAAAAAAGAAAATTGGCCAATCACATGAAGATATTGTTTTTTTAATTTATTTTGTTAATTTTTAATGTAAAAAGTTGTGGCCTTTTAATTTAAAGAGAAATGCGCGAGAAATGAAAAAAATTTTTTGAGAACGTCACAAAAAATAGTTAAACTTTCTCTCTTTTAAAGTTTTTATTTATTATTTATGCTTGAATTGATTTTGATTTGATTCACTTTTCTTTTTAATTTAACTTTTAAATTTTTATATATTTTTTGTTGTAATTTTATTTTATTTTTATTTAAATAAATATCGTTATCTTCTGCCCACAAGTAGATGCTCTATGAAATGCCAAAGTCTGTAAAATGCCAAAATCTCAAAATATGTATATAATAATTTAGTGCTAGAATTCAGGACGTGAAGAGAGATTTTTTAGAGAGGATTTCATACTATTTTTATTTCATCATTTCATTCAGATCTTAACCTCATATGTATTTAAACATTTTTAAAATTCTGTTTTTTTCTTTTCCTGGGTAGCAATCTCTATTATGTATATAGAAAAAATCTGTAGGAATAATTCTTTAATGAAAATTTAAAAAAATAAATATGTATATTAATGCTTCAATATTTTTCTTTTAAATTAATTAGCAAGAAATTTAAAAATGGTTTATCTAAAAAATACTCAAAACAACAATCCCGGCCTCCGTCCATTAAATAATGGAAGAAAAGCTTCTTCTTTTTTAAAAAATTGTTGTGGGGGTTTATGTAAAGACAATAAATTTCGTCAATTAACATTTTATATTCTTTTGTTATTTTTATTTGGATTAACAATTATTGATGTTCGGAAATTGGTTTGGGAAAATTAAATAAATTAAATTAAATTAAAAATTAAAGATTATATGTTACTTTACAGACAACAAGGAAATTGATATGAAAATGAGTAAATTTTAAAAATAATTCTTTTAATGCTAAGCATATAGCTATTTGGAGTGGTGTAATGGATAACACAGTCCAGTCTACCGAAGATGCTGGTTCGCTCCCAGCCGCCGATTACTCTTTAGCCCAGCTCTGCTACTCTTTAGCCCAACTCGACTTTACTTTATTATTAATTCTAATTTTCCCTCATCCATTATCTTTAATAATTAAATTTTAAAATTAAATTTCTAAATAATTTCAAATAATTTCAAAAAAATTAAAGATTTTAATGCATCAATGACAATGCCAAACATAACATTTTGTATGTCAAAAAACAATGCCTGGAGTCATTTTAATCAAACGGGACTAACTAGTCAAGACCTATATAACGCTACTGAAGTAAAAACAAAAATTACAAATATATTTAAGTTAATTATTTTTAGGAAGGATTATCTAAAATGCCAGATTCAGCAACATTCCTTAATAATGATTGGGATTATAAAATGGTTATGGATGCTTATTTAGTTAATTAATTAATTTAGTTAAAATAATTATTTTAATTTTTGGTTATCTCTCTTCTTGGTACAATTGAGCAAGAATTATCTTCACAAGGGGCATCGAATTCCATAAATAATTTGGGGAAGAATCCTGTAAAGGAAGAAGTTCGAGAAAGAATTAAAGTAAAAATAAATAAAAAATATTTTAAATTATAACTTTTAAAAAAGAAATGGCTAGATGAAATAGCTAAAAGAAAAGTCTCTTTTGATGAATTTAGACAAAAAGTTGGATGGGAAACTTTAAGAAGGTTTTCTCAAAAATTTTCTAAAATTATTTTATATTTTATAAAAGGTCCCAACATCGATTTGAACGTTTAGATGTAAACAAAGAACAAAAGAAAATTAAGAATGATGTCAAAATTACTTGGCTTTCAACAAGACAACTTTGTTTCCAACCACATTTTGATCAAGATTCTTTTATTCCAATTGCTGATCAGGCACTAATTTACCTTCTTATAAGGTTAAGCGGCATCAGGATCACGGCCGGCTTTATTATACCGATTTTTTAATCCCGATCCGACACCGAGAGATAAATCCCGATACCGGCCGATACCGAATTCCGATACCGTTTAACTATACTTTCTTGAAGCCCTGTCTAGATTTTACCCAAATCCTAATTATTTTAGGACCCCTTCTTTGTTATGAATATTGTTTACAATTTTGGTAATGTTGAAGACCTTGACTGTATGTCTGTTGATGTTCATGGAAGGCCTTCAGATGAGACTCGTTATATGATGGGAAAAGGACGTGCAAATGATGGATATTTTAATCAAGTATTAATTGAAAATTTATAATTAAAAGTTAATTATTTAAAAGTTATGTATTGGAGATACTTTTGAATCGACAATAGAAATAAGAGCAATTACAACAATTTTACCTGATCCTGATGCTCCAATAGAACAACGATGCCAAATATACGAACAAAAAGAAAATAGCCCAAATTCGGAATTGGATTGCCTTAGAAAATGTAGAATGGAATTAATAAGAGTAAATGGAGATTTAAAAAATAAAATTAATTTTTTAATTTTAAAAAATAAATAGAAATTATGTAATTGTACAGCACCTTCACTTTCAAATTTTGTTTATGATCCTAAAGAATTGAATAATTATCCATTATGTGATTACGGGCTATGCGAGATTGGGTAAATTATTTGAATATACTTTCGATTAACTTTTTAATTTTTAAAGTAATTCAACAGAAAGTAAAGAGGTTAAGGAATGGGACAATAAATGTGTAGATCAATGTGCCCCAGAATGTACACAAACTAGATATGAATTAACTACTACACATAAAACAGCTTTACACCCACGTCTTGTTTATTTTAAAAAATATTTTAAAAATTCCTTTATTTTTAGAGGAAGTTCAGTTAACTTTAAGTTGGGGTGCTTTTGAATATCTTCGATTAATTCAACAAGATCGCTGGTCTTTTACTAAATTTTTATCTCAAATTGGTGGGGCTACTGGTGTCTGGTTGGGACTATCAGCACTTTCTATTGTTCAAGTAATTTATTTAAAAAATTCTTGAAAATAAAAATTTTTGTCTCTTCAAGTTCCTAACCTTTTTGTTAACTCGTGCACACAAAAAAGTTTCAAAAAGAAAACAAACGGGTGTTGATTCTGTTAATTATAATAATAATTATGGAAATAGACGAACAAGTGAACTTAGTAGTGGAACTGCTCACGAAATGACAAATCCTTCAAATAATCCTTTGGGCGGGGGTATTGCTAAAAATCCTTTTGGAGGGAAACGAAAATAAATAAAAATAATTATTAGAGGTGCTCTATTGTTATTTTTAAATCTTATTTAATTATAAGAAATACAATGAGCATCTCTAATAAAATAAATATTACCTATTTACTTTAATTACAAAATATTTTTTTATTTAAAAAATATATATAAATTAAATTTTTAAATACTTCTTCTAATTTTATTTTTTCTTTTAATTTCTAAATTATTAGTTTTAATTATTATTACTTCCTCCTTTTCTCCTTCCTCTTCTTCCAAATTTCCAAGCCAAAAAGATCTTGTCATATAAATTACAGCAGATATCCAAATTGCCAATAAAAGCCATCCAAAAAGTCTAATTTGTAATTCTCTATTAATAAATGATGAAAATTTAAAATTTGTTGATATTGAATTAAAAGAGAAATTAATTTTGAATTATTTAAAATTAATTTTAAAAAATATGTAAAATTTCTATAATAATTTTTAGTTATTTTTCAGTTAATTTATTATTTAATTAAATTGTGTAATTTAAAGTAAAGAGGTTTTAGATGAAAAATAGGGAAAGTATATGATCAATATTAGACTGATTAATTAATTACCTACTACTACATAAATATATTTTTTTTGCTTAAAATCTTTTGTTTTTTTATTTAAAATTAAAATTCTTTTTTAGTCCTTTAACACATTCTCTTTTTGTTAAATAATAAGAAAAATTCTTCAAAAATTCAAGAAAAATTTTTTAAAGTGGATAAAAGCTTCGACAAAACTAAAAACTCTTTTTTCACATTGTTGATGCCATAATTTTCCCTTGGGGGCGGATATTCAGGAAATAAAAGAAAAGAAAGTTTCGCTTTTATATCAAAAATTGGACTAAATTGGAGGGATATTTTGTTTATAAAAATGAAATAAATAAAAAAAATTTATTTTAATATAATATATAGTTTTGAAAAATTAAGGCTCTCGCAATTTTGATCTAATGTCCCTTGAAAGTTGCACATTGTGTTGTTGACGAGACGCATCTGGGAAAATTGTTCATTTTTCCCTCCCTCGGCGCCTCTGCGCAGGGGTTTAAAATAATAAAATTTAAAAATATTTATTTAATAAACCTCAATAAACTAATTTATTTTATTACATTTCTGTTTTACAAACAAAAATAGGAAAAAGAAAATAATGAAGGAATGGGAAAGCAAGAAAAATATGTAGGTTGTATTTACACCGAATATACTCGATTAATTACTCTCGGTTAATATTTTTTCTTCTTAGAGGGGTAATTAATCGAGTAGATAAAGCATAAATATAGATTTTTATAAAAATATATAGTATATATACATAACCCGTTATAATCGGTTTTTAATAGAAGGGTCGGATACTTGCTATTATTATAGCTGTAATAATAGATAGATGTAATAGAAATGTTGGGAATTTTAATATTAATAGTAATTCTAAAAATAAAAATATTTGTTCGTGAATACATATCAGAACCGATTCTAGCGGGAAATTTGACAAATATATATGTATAATTCTAATTAATTAATAATTGAGAAATGAAGGTATACTTACTAAAATAATTAAAGTTAAAAAATCAAACAAAAATTCGAATACCTCCATTTTTTAATACAAAAATATTTTCTTCTAACAAATATATATAATTTTTAAAAATTATCTTTTAAATTCCCGTAAATGAGATCATTAATTATTTTTTATTTAAATTTATCCAGAAATTTTCCATTTATTTAAACGTTCTTTCATTCGATTCAAAGCACTAGTCTTTCTTGAACGGGTATTTGGAGATAAACTTTCCTCACCTCCCTGAGAGGAATCTATTGATGAAACTGTGCCAACTCTCTAAAAAATAATTTTATTTTAAAAAATTTCAGAAAAAATCTTCAATTACTTTTCGAAACATAGATTCATCAGCACTAACACTTCTACGGCGTATTGCTTTCCCAAACTTTGCAAAGAAGTGCCCCTTTGAATCATTATTTGGACTAATTGGTGAATTCGGCTTACTACTCTAGAAAAAATAAATTTTAAAAATTTATTTAAAAAATGATTTTTTTTCTAAACTTTTTTGCTGTTTCTTCTTCCTCCACTTTTTTCTCCATTCATATTTCCATACATAGATGCAGTCATACTTTGTGCCATTACAGGAGTAGATATTTTCCGATGAGGACGAGAACGGGGTGTTGAATCATCAACAACGAGGCGATTAAATAATGCCGCTAATTGATCACGTGCTTGGGTACTTTAAATTTAAAAGGAATTGATTGTCCTCAATAAGTTTTTGAAGAAAAATCTTATAATAATGATTATGGATGTAAAAATTAGAACCCAAAAATCTTAAAGTTTTTTAAATCTTGAAATTTTCAACTTATCATTCAACTTTTCATTTTCAATTTTTCATTTCATAATAAAATTATTTATTAACCCTTTTTTCTGGTGATTATTTTGTTGTTGTTGTTGAAGTAATAATTGCTGTTGAAATTGTAAAAGAGCTGCTGCTTTATTATTACTACAATTAGAGTTAGTACTTCCTCCACTACTATTAGTAGATGTTTTTGATATACTACTCCCGTCATTTCCTCCAAAAACGTCACTTCCGTTAGTTCCATTAATTATAGGGTTTGAATGTGTATTATTTTTTGCATTTGACATTTTTCTAAATTTATATTGAAAAAAGTAAAAAGAAAAAAAATTTTTATTAGGATATTTAATTATTAAAAATTATTTAAATATTAGATTCTAAAATTAATCTATGGTCACTTATCGTCATTAATAAAAAAAAACTTTAAAATTTGATATAGTAAATGAAATTTCATCGAATCCATATTAACCCCAAAAAAGTTTAATAACTAATTTATTTACCTATATTGTTTTTTTTCATTAATTCCACCCCCACCCCCACCACCATTATTATCATTATTCAAAACATTAAAAACATTGGGTATAGCCGAATCTTCATTTGAACGTTGTTTACAATGTTGAAATAATTCAGAATGTTGATTGTGTGAATGGGGAGTTATATCCGCTGAATTCTTCTTCTGCAATGCATTCATTCTTCTATTGACAGCTGAAGCATAAATAAGTGCCATTTTTCTCTCTTTTTTTGTTAAATTTTAATACAGGGTGCGGCAAATTAGCGGCCGCTTTTGTTTTAGCTATAACTTTCTTCATTTTTAATGAAAAGCGATAATTCTTTTTTTCCTAGATTCCCGACACTTTAGCAAAATTGTTGATACCAAATAATAAAAATTTGGTTCACAGATTGCAAAGATAAACGGGTTCGAACTCTAGAAAATTCAAAAACATCTTATCATGCCAAAGTTTAGTTGATCATAACTTCGTTCAAAATAATTCAATCCGAGTGATTTTGGTACCAATCAACTCCACTCGCTCAGGAGCATCGATATAGCTGATAAACTCATTTTTGAAAATTTTACTTAAAAAATTTTTATTTGCAAAATTTATTTTAATTTATTCGTTAGAGAGTCATATCTCGGTCGATTTACGTGATACACACCTGATTTTGACCTCATTCGAATCAGATTAGAGAGCTGATTCTAATGATATATAAAATTCTCACATCAAATTAATAGCCTTGAATCCAGGCCAAATTTTATCCAAAAATTTTTGCTCGAAATTTGATAGAAAATTAATCAGACTTAATTATAAAATTTAAAGGAGATTCTGGTATCAACAATTTTGCTAAAGTATCAGGAATCCAGGAAAAAAAGAATTATCAATTTTCGTTTAAAATTAGAAAAGTTATAGCCAAAACAAAAGCGGCCGCTAATTTGCCGCACCCTGTAATAATTTTATTTTGATGAAATTCTATTTTTGAATGAATATTTTAAAATATTTTTTAATCTTAATATGAAAATAAACTTTGGACTTGATATTTATCACTTTTTTAATTCAATAAAAGTTCAATTAAAATAAAGCCTTTTTTTCTAAAAGTACATTCTTCGTTTTATTCCCTTTTATTTAGTTTTGTTTTTGAAACAATAAAATAATGAAGAAATAAATATACTCATTGGGGACAACTAAAAATAAAGTCTATCTTTGAAAAAAAAGAAAATTAATTTGGCGTAAAGTGAGAAAAACTTGGAATATTTTTTTGTTAATTTAAACAGAAAAAAGTTTAAAAAACCAGACAAAAATTTGAAAATAAATTTTTCTAAAAAACTGACAAATAAATTCAAAAATATTTAAATGTGCCAAAGTAAAAATGCTATTATGTAATTGATGGAAAAATAAATGAAAAGGGAGAGAATGGGGAAGTGACTTTTATCCAGGCATAAAGAATAAAAAAAATAAAAGGTATTTTTTGCATTTTAGCCTTTCTCCGCCTCCAGAAATTTAAGCAAGGAACTATCTAGTATTTCTTGCAGGAAATTAAAATAAAGGAAGGCAAAATAGTAATGCTTGAAGATAGATTAATTTAAAAAATGTACTATTGAAGATTGGATATATGCAGGAAGGCGTAGCAAAATTAATGGAGAGACATGAGAATGGAGGAAAAAAAAGACGAACAAAGTCCAAAATAAATTTTTCTATTTGAATTAATATTAAATAAATTTTGAATGCTCGATATTGCTTTTCACTTTGGATATTAAATTTTTAAATTCCTAATGTGCTTAACAAAATTTAAAAAAATATGTAAATAGTATGTAATTAATACCTTATAGACAAATTTCTTTTTAATAATTTTATTTAAAATAACAAAAGTCTAGTTTAAATTCCATTTCTTTTCTATCATAATCATTGATCATATCCACTAATTTTTATTTTGTTTTTGATTGACATAAAGAAATCTGACACTAAAAATATAATTTTTGAAAAATTTTTGATTTTTCAGCTGATTTAGCGAAGAGTTTTTTAAACAACTAAACACCCACGAAAATACACATAAAAATTAATATACTAAATTAATATAGAGAGATTATACCTCTTGAATAGAGTCTATATTAAAGGGAGCTTAATACTACTATAGTTTTCCAAGTTTAATTTCGGAACATAAAATTTATAAAATATCTTAAAATAAATTAAATATATTTTTATTTTTCAAAGACTGCAAGGCTTCTTCACTATTATAGTTATTTATTTTTTATTTTATCTGGCAGAATTTACTACATACTATTTAATTTAAATTAAATATCCTAACAATACAAAAAGGAAATTAAAAAAAAAAAGGAAAAATTTTGTGAAGAAATGGAATGGAAATAATAAAATAAATAAAATATAATTAAAGGACAATAGTTGGAAATAAATAAATAAATATATTATTTGTCCGTTTATTTAGCTTAGAAAATTTAATTTAAAGCTTTAAGGCAAAATGTCATTTTAGTTTTTCTTTTTAATTTTCTTTACGTTTTTAGTAATTAATTATTTATGTAAAATTTGGAATTGAAATTCTTCTGGAAAAGAGAAAATAGTCGTCACTTAAATTTTAAAATAATTATTAGGGGGTTTTAAATTTATTTTGAATAATATTTAAAAAAAATAAGAAATAAATATTTTGAATATTTAAAATTAAAATCCAAACTCTTTGAATTTAAAAAGGAAAATAATTTTAAAAGAGAATATTTTACTTTTCATCAATAAAAGAAGTATTACAATTTATTTTGAACTTTTAAAAGTAAAATTTTTATTTGAAGATCAGCTGCTTTTATTTTTTCCTTTTGGCAATTGATATTTGATAGGGAATTTTTTCTTTTAAAAATTAATTGTTTGTGTTTTCTTCTCACCTTTATAAAAATTAAATAAAAAAGCCTCAAGACTTTTTTTCGTTTCAGCCACAAAAATATTTAAACAATCATTTATCTTTTAATTGGAAGCAATATATTTGTCTGGAATTTATATTTTAGAGACAAATGTTTGAAATTTTTTATACTTAAGAAAAGTGGAAAAATTAATAAAAAAGGGTTTGTGTGTTGCCAATTATTTTAAAAGTTTGGAATTTAGTGGAGGAATTTGGAAATGAATTGGAAGATTAAAAATTAAAAAATCAAAATTAAAGAAAAAGAAAAGTTTTAAATTTTAGAATTTTTTACTATTAAAATATATAAAAAAGCTTTTTTTTAATTTCTTTCTAAGAGATTTAATTTAAGAAATAATTAGAAACTTTAATATATGTTTACAGAATTTTGATTCGGAAACTAATAAAATTAATTTAACAAATAAAATATTTTTTATAAAAAATAAATTTTAAAAATTTCATATAATAATTTTACAAAGCTTCTCTTTACTTAATCTCTAATAAATACATATAAATTATTTTTTCTAAATTCAAATTATTTTTTTAATTTCGAATGATTAATGAATTAACTATTAAATAAAATAAAAGTCAGCTGATATTTGAAGATATTTTTTTATTATAATTTTAAAGCTAAAGAATTGAGGAAATTGATGTTCTCTCATTTTTTGCAGCGAAAAAAATGAGAGGAAATTGGTTAACTCGAGAGAAAAAATTTTTGGAAGAAAATAAAATAATTAAATAAATTTTATTTTAAAAGAAAGAATTAAATAATTTAAATTAATTTGGGTGTAATTTAAATATATTTATTATTTATTAAATTATTTTTTAAAATTTTTGAATAATTTATTACGATTGATTAACGTGATGTGATCTGAGGGTGATCGGTTCTTATATTTCGTGACTAACTGAATTAGAATATTCCATCTTTTTGTTTATACTCTAAATAAAAAAATACCAATAAAGTAGAGAATTTGACAGGCGAAATCTGATAGTGAAGGGAAGGCCATATACATAAACTAATATGACTCACAAAAGGCTAAAATTAACAATAATATATGAGACAAGAATTGGATATGGATGTTGTGATATCTTCTTAATAAAAATCAGTTATTTATTTGAATATAAAAATATAGTAAATTGTTTATTTAGTTACAGAGAATTAAATAAAAAAATTAAAAACAAACAAAAATTATTTATTTACTTTTTAATATTTATTGTAAAAAATAATTTTGTCTGGGTTTTTTCGTTAATTTTTGTGTTTATCTAAAGTTTAAATCATAAAACAAATAAACATCGTTCTAAAAGTTGGCCAGATTTTTTTTGAATTTTAATTAAAAAGAATTATTTACAATAAATTGTTGGAATTTTTCTCTTTCATTGTCTGATACTGATTTAATAAATATTTTGGTAAATCTTTTTTTATTTTTAAATTTAAATAAAAATATAGTATTAATTTCATTTTCACAAAAAGACTAAAACATTCCAATCTTTTTATCAATTATTTTCTGTGTTTTGTTTAGATTATCCTGTCTATATTTTGTATTTATAAACATTTTAGTTCTAAACCGATTATTTATTTTTCAAAATTTAATTTAATTCCTTATTAAAAATTAAATTTTCTTAAATTTTTAATTTAAAATTTTTTTAGATAAGTTATTTATTTGAATGTAAAATACTTTAAAACACGAATATAAAAGATTTAAAATATTATTTTGTGTATATCAATTATTATAAAGGAATCCCCCCCCCAAATAATTTATCTAAAAAATTAAATTTCACATATATTTATTATCAGTGATTATAATTCAAAAAATATTTTAATTTCCACAACATTTCCTTTATTTTCTCTTATCATTTTTTAAAAATAATTTATTTATTTTTCATTAATAAATTTAATATACAATTACATATTATTTTCAATATCAATTATTATTTTATTTTCTCTAAATTTCCTCAAGTTTTATATTTTTTAAATAATTTTTATAATTTTTTTAATTGTTAAGAATTATAAGTAGAAATGTTGGGAATGGTAATAAAAAAATAAATGATTCAAGTATTTAAATATTATTTTAAAAAATAATACTTTGTTTTTAATAAAGGGGAGGATTTTTAGAACATTTTTGTAAATTTTTTTTATAATTTATAAATATTGGTTAATTATGGGAGAGATTCCACAAGACTGAACTTCACTTTTGTGATTAATAAAATCATTATTTATAAGACGTTTTCTAATGAAACATAATTATAATTTTAATTAATTTATTAATATTATTCCTGTTTATTTAAAATTCTTCAAGGATTCTTTTTCAAAATGTATTTATTATTCAACTAAAAATCATTTTTTCAAAATTTTAACCATTTAAATGTCATCATCTCTCATTCATCCACAATATTATTTCCCATTCCGTGGGTGAGTAAATTAAATGAGGAATTGAATG